GTTGGTGTGATGGGAGTTGTGGTTGTGGGTGTGGTCGTGGGCGTGGGCGTGGGCGTGGACGTGGGTGTGGGTGTGGGCGTGGTCGTGGGTGTGGGTGTGGCTGTGGTCGTGGGCGTGGGCGTGGGTGTGGGCTTGGGCGTGGGTGTGGGCGTGGTCGTGGGTGTGGGTGTGGGCGTGGTCATGGGCGTGTGCGAGGTGGGGCATTCCCACCAAGGAACACAACAATTCACCCGTATCTCATAGTCATAGCAGAGTTCGAATGGTCCGGTCTTGAACTGGTCTTCGTTTTTGCAGATAAACCCAAAGGAGAGGTTGCACTGTACGTTCTGGCCCAGGTCTTCCCAGGAGATGTGCGGCTCCGTGGCCGACCTGCACTGGATGTCCTCTGGAGCCTTGCAGACACTGTCAAAGGTCTCTCGGTCACCACCATCGCTGCCGCTGGTTGGGTGGTCCTCGTTGATCCAGTGAGTCCAGAAGCAGCAGGGCTCTAGAAGCAACCCCCCCAGTGGTTATTTGCATCTGGGCAGAGGCACCTTCAAGGTCTCCATGCCCCGAAGGGCTTGGGACCTCCATGACCATCCTTAAGATATGGCTGCCCCTCCTGTCATCACTAAAGGACCAGTTTGCAGGACAGGGCTTAAACTGACTTCCCCCTCATTTTACAACATAATATTGAGGCCCAGAGGGCAGAGGCCACCCCGGGCCATGTCTGGGTCTGACAGGCTCAAACCTTGAAGCTTCAGGTAGGCACCTCTTCCRCAGCTGTTCCAAATCCTAGTGTCAAAAGCGGGGGGCTGTGGCTGTGGCTCAGGGTACAGCGCTCACCTAGCACGTGGAGGCACTGAGTTGGATCCTCAGCACCACATAAAAATAAATAAAATAAAGGTACTGTGTCTGACTACAACTAAAAAAAAAAGAAAATGTAAAAAGGAACAAAAGGAGGAACCCGTAGAGCCACAGCTCCAGGAAGGGGGAGTGTGGACAGGCCCTGTCTCTACTCTTGGCCAACATCAGGGTCCCTCATGCAGGTCCAGCCCCTCCTCACTAGTCCCTGGCCTGAGCAGACAGTAAAGTTGCCCAAATACACCCATCACTGGTCCTTAAGCAGATAAGCCCACCAGCCTCGCAGGCCCCAAGCAGTCTCCTGGGGGTTCTACAGATTTTGCYCATCTTGGCCCTGTTTGTCACCGTGACACATTGCAGCGTCACTTACTTGAAGTTGACGGAACTGCAATAGARAGGGGAAGGGTCTCGTTACCCAGSCCGAGACCCTTTAACTCTCTTCACTTTTCAGTGTGCCTTCCTGTGTCTTGTCACACCCTGGTGGTTTGTCCAGTGTGTCCATGATTTTGACCACAACAAACAGGAATTCAAGGAAGTCCTCTGATTAGGCCTTAAGGGCATCTTTGCAGGGACACAGGCACATGGATGTCACCTCATCTGGCAGCTGATCTGCAGACAGAAGCTGGCCACCCAGGCCACCCAGGCTGCTGGGGAAAGGCAAGGTCCCCAGCAGAGATCCGTGGCCATGGGGCCTCACCTGAGCTGGTGAAGGGGGTGGTGGTGGTGGTGGTGGTGGGGACAGAGGAGGTGGTGGTGGGGACAGAGGTGGTGGAGGAAGTCGGCGTGGACGGGGGTGCCGTGGTGGTGACACAGATGTTGAAGTGCCTCTCCACTGTCCCATTGGGGCCACAGAACTCCCAGTAGCAGAAGACACCGTCCTGAGTCTGGTTGAGAATCTTCCCTGGGGAGAAGGAGACCAGCCATCAGCGCGGCAGGTGGAGGCAGACTCACTCCCCAGCGCTGCCTGGCAGGTCACCCCTGAGGAGACACTGGGTGCCCCCAGTTCCACAAGTGCCCCAGCAGGACCCCTTTCCTGGATCTCCTCCCTTGAAGAAGGGGCCTCATCAGAACATAGGGGACCCAGAGGGGAGGGGCAGCAGATGTTCACCATGAGGCACCGGCTCCCATAAGAAGGGACTCGACGTGTCACAGGAGCCCATGGGCTGCTGCACAGCAGGGCAGGTCTGAGCATGTCTGGGCACCAAACAGGTAGAACCCAAGAGGACARCCCCACGCAGGCCAGGCCCATGGATTCAGGGACGGGGCAGGCTGCAGGCTTCCTGCCGCAGAGGTAGCAACAGAGGACAGCTTACCTTCGTCCGGGTGGCAGACCACATGTGAGGAGTTAGTGCACACACTGCAAAGCAAGCACAGTGGCTGCAGGCCTCCTGCCCCTCCCTCCAGGCCTGCTCCCAGTGCAGACCCCGTCCCCAAAACCAGCTCCAGAGGAGCCCCACCCATCAGGTTCTAAATGCGGGCAGAGGCACGGGACAGGTAAGATGGGAAAAGCTGGAACAGGCAGGTGACATTCATGTGCATGAGTGATTGCATGCACCTGCGGGACTGTGTCCATGCATGAGTACAGGCACGCACTCTGTGTGTGGACGTGTGTGTATGAGATGCATGTGGCTGTGTGCGCACGCATGGGTATGTGCACCTGCATGGAACAGCATGGGATTGTGTGTGTGTGCAGGCATGTGTGTRCTTGTTATGTGTGTGTGTGTAGCTGTGCCTGCGTGTGCACCGAGCCCCAGCCTGCCCCCTTGCATTGTGGGCTTGAGTACCAAGATGTGCAGATGTCCTTCGTGGGAACCTGCGCTCCAGGGGGGTAGTGGGTGTCCCCAACATAGCAGCCACACTGGTCCCCAGTGACACACTTCTTCAGGTCCTCATTGTAGATGGGCCTGTCCGTGGGGCATCGGGGGTAGCAACCTGGCGRGCACAGGGCAAGGGCCTTGGACCTCCAGGGAGGTCCACTGGAGCCTCCCCAGCATCCCCACCCATCCGTCGTGTCTTTCGGGGTGTTCCTCTGGCAAGGCCAGGGGACAGAGAGGGCTGGGTCTCCCCACCCTGGGGGTCCTCTGCACAGCCAGCCCCTCTCAGGGCTGTTAGCTGCTGCTTCTCTGATTCTCCTTGAGGAGGTTCAGTGCAGCCCAAGCCCACTGCTCGAAGGACACGTTCTGCCACAGGTGAGCCTGGCCGCCCCCTGGGCCTCAGATCTCCAGACCTCAGGCCTCCCGCCAGGGTCCCCCGGGTCTCCAGCCAATGGCAGCTTCAAGCCCCACTGACGCCTACCAGCAGGGCTACCCCTGCCCCCAAGGCCCTCCCTGCTCACCCTCCAGGTAGGACACAGAGATGTTGGAGTGGATGCCGTTGATGGTCCTGCAGGTTTCAAAGCTGCGGTTCCCACACGGCTCATAGTGCCACTCACACTCRTCCGGGGGGTTGTAGTAGTCACAGAATATGGCTGAAGGGAGGACAGGAGGATGGGGACRGGGTCAGACTCAGCAGGATCCAGGCAGGGGCCCAGACAAAGGTGAGGCTGGGATGGGGGAGTGGGCAGGGACACGTCCAGCCAGGTCTGGACAACCCAGGTCTCACAGTGATCCCAGGAAGCATGATGCCCAGGAAGCACGGGGTTAGTGATATACATGCTGACACTTGGAGGGGAGGGAGTGCCGCTGCCCCCAGCCCTCACTGCAGCCCCTGGTCAGGACAGTGGGCACTCACGGCACAGATCYGGTGTCCTCCAGAACACACAGGCCTCCGCCTTGGTGCACTCCTGGGCGTAGGAGGCCACGGCAGAGCAGAAGCACTCGCAGTCGCCCCCGGTGTCGCAGGAACAGGAGTCCTGCACGCAGGCCTCGTAGAAGACCGTGGGGTCCACCTGAGGGGAAGACGTGGTGTGCCYTGGGCCCGCGCTGCCTTCGTGAGGCCAGGACCCTGCGTCTGGCCCTGGTCGTCCCAAGGCTCCAAAGTGACTCATAACTGGGGGTGTCCAAAGGCACCCTGACTGTGCAGCCCTGGGGCTTCGAAGGTCTCAGGATAAGATGGCCATCCTAAAACCGGCCCTGCCCTYTGTGGCCAGTATCTGGGGCCATCTGGTCATTAGCCCCTTACCTGCCTTCCCTCCCTCCATTGTGAGCATGYAAGTCAGAGAGGTATAGGGACGCTGGGTCCAACCAGGAGTCTCAGAGGATCACCTGGTCATCTCCTCATGTGTCCAAAGAACAACGAGAAAGGACAAGTACTCCACAGCGAGCCACTCCCCAGAGCTCCCTCAGCGCAGGGGAGAGCCCTGCCGGGCCGTGACCACGCCCCTCGCCCGGCCCCGCCCACCCTGCTGTGGCCCCGCCCAGGCCCGCAGCCCCACCCACCTTGCTGTGGCACACGCTGAACACGCTGCTCTTGATGATGCTGCACTGCTTCTCCGCCCAGGAGCGGCGGTGCGGGTTCAGGCTGCAGGGGTCCGGGACGGTGCTCACGTCTGGGCAGGTGGAGGCCTCCTTCCAGCTGTTCCCGAAGTCTAGCTCGCTGCTCACCACCATGTGGTCCCGCGTGGTGAAGTCGTTGCTAGTGCGGTCATCAAAGTTCCCGCAGAGGCCGCACACAGTGCCCTGTGAGGAAGGAGCATAGGCTTCACAGGCCAGGCAGCTGGGGGGGGAGGCGGGCAGCACAGTTCAGACGCCACAGAGGGGCGGCCCACCTTGTAGGTCGGAGCCAGCTTGATGAAGATGGTGGTCTTCTTGTCCCAGATGACGATGATGCCGGTGCTCGCCTCAACCACCAGGTACTGGCCCACTTCCCGCGTGGTGTAGGCCACGTGGTGGCCCTCCTCAAGCTGGACCACTTCCCTGYGCTTGTCCTCCAGCTTCAGCTCCGTCCTCTGCCCAGAGGAGAGGCAGGTCACTAGCAGTGTCCGAGGGTCCCCAAGGGCTCTYGGAACCCCAGGGACGGGCAGCACTCACCCCTATGAAGATCTTGATGGCCTTGGAGCAGGTGACACCAGTGGTGCCACAGGGGACATTCTCAGTGATGATGCTGAAGGAGCCTGTTGAGGAGTTCTGGCCGCAGTAGTCCTGGGGGCCAGTGGGTGAGGTCAGCTAGCTCCAACTCAGACCTGGCCAGGGCAGCCCCTCGTCGGGTGGCTGGGGATAACAGTGGCACCGGGGGTGCCAGGGCTGGGCCAGGCAGCCAGGCCTGTCCTGATTACACATGCGTGTGCACACACAGGTACTTCAGCAGGAGGGTCACAGAACTGGAGAGGGGGCTTTACCGTGCCCACCCCTCTCCCAGCCCGAAGCCCAAACCTTGACCAGGTGGGGCCTGGGGCAGAGCACGGGCTGGCCCTCCCACAAGGTCTCCTGCACCTCAGAGCAGGTAGAGCAGGACCGTGGGGACCGTGGGGCAGGGCAGGCCTCACCTGGACAGCCACGTAGGAGCAGTGTCCATCAAAGTCATAGTGCTTCCCATCAAAGGTGATGTAGTGGCCGCTCCCGTAAATGGAACAGGTGCCGTGGCACAGGAACTGGGTACATTGCCAGCGTCCTCTCTGGCAGGTGCTGAGAACAGGAGAGAAACCTGAGGGGCCAGAGCCCAGGGCCCCACCCCTGCTCAGACACCCACCTGGCTTAGACCCTGGGTTGGTGGAGACACTCCTGGCAGCCCAGGCAGGACACCCACCAGCACCCACAGCAGCCCAAACATGCCCTGCACCCCACCTCTGCTCCAGGACCAGGGGCAGACAGGAGAGACTGCCCATCAGCTGAGCYGAGCCACCCGGCCCTGTAGGACCCGGCAGGGTGCCCCCAGCCAGGCCACTTACCAGGTGTTGTTGCAGTCTAGCTTGATCTTGTCCCCAGGGGAGTACAGGTCCTTGTTGTGGACACACGGGCACTCCTCCTCCACCACACAGCCACCCCGGCCATCATCCAGGAGCCCCTCAGGGCACACGCAGCCACTGACACAGTCCGTATGGTACTGGGGGCAGCAGAGGGGGCTTCAGTGAGACCAAAGCTCCCTCTGGGCGGTGGGAGGACACAGTGGGAGAAGCTCTCCCTGGCCCCAGGCCTCTCCCCTCCGGCCCACAGGTGGGCAGGAAGACAGGTGAARGTGGCCTGCCTAGAGCCGCTAAACTGGCCCCTGTTCCCAGGGGGCCCAGAGGCCACCACTTGTGTCAACCAAATCCAGTATCCATAGGATTCAGCGTCCGGACCTGGTGGACAGGGCGTAGAGGAGTCCACCGGCTCCCTCCACCATGGCTCAGCCAGAAAGGCCCCACCCAGCCCACCCAGCCCACTCTCCACCACCCTCCCCAGCACGCACATAGCCAGCGACCAGCGTCTGGCAGCTGGTGGGGCGGGGCTCTCGGGGGGCCAGGGCAGTCAGGTTGTTGCAGTCGACAAGGATCTTTGGGGCCGCGCAGCCTGTGGGACAGAGGGGCTGCCTGAGCTCACGCTGAAGTGAGCGGGCACGGGTGGGCAGGAGAAGGAGCAGGGGAGCAAGCCAAAGGGCCGGTGGCCATGCACAGAGCAGCATCCACTTACTCTGGCCGATCAGCTTGACCTGCGTACAGTGCAGCCTCCCATTTCGGCAGACACTGCGAAGGAGAGGGGGTAAACAGGGCCCAGGACTCCTCACTCGGGACATCAAGGGAAGCGGCCCCTCCCAGTCCCCCGCCCCAGCCCCATCTGCACCCAGGTCTCACTCAGAGCAGAGCTCCAGAGGCAGACCCGCCCCACCCCAGGCCTCCCTGCCCAGGCAGACACCCACCAGCGCTCCTCCTGCCTCAAGACCACATCCCCCGCCTCCAGGTAGAGGCCTCGGTGGTAGCAGGAGCACTTGGCCAGGGGCACACAGCGGCCCTTCTCATCCAGGAAGGTGTGGTCAGGGCAGCCACAGCCGTCCACGGGCGTGAAGCCTTTGAGACAGTGGGTTTCCCCCTCAGAGAGCGAGCGGCAGGTCTGCTGGCAGGTGGTCAGGTTGTACAGGAAGATCTGAGATTTGGGGCAGGAGCCCACGTCCTTGTCTGCAGAGAACCAAGGGACCAGAGTGAGGCGCAGGAGAGACCAGCTCCCAGCTCCATCCCGAAGACTGTCCCTGAGCCTCGCTCCGTCAGGGCAGCAGCACCCCTCCAACCAAGACCAGGGAGGGCAGCCGCCCAGGGACGCCCACCCTGAACTCAGCGGCCACAGCTCCTGACCACCCCYATCCCTGGTCCCTGAAGGTGCCCGCCAGGAGCCAGCTGCAGGAGGTGACCCTCCCTTGGGCCACCCGGGCTCAGGGCCCAGCCTYGGGGCACTCACTGCAGACGCGCTCCCGCCAGCCCCACAGCATGACGCCCTTGGTGGCGCAGGCCCGCGCGTAGGAGGACAGCGCTGCGCACAGGCAGTCCTCGTTGTTCTGACAGTTGCAGGTGTCATACTTGCATCTCTGGAAAGCAAATGGGGGGGGGGCAGTGAGGTGGAGCCCTGGACGCGACCCGGCTCCCTGTGCACTCAGCACACACGCCCGTCACCCACTGGGCACGCCAGGCAGGCTCTGGGCATGGCACACGGCATGGGGGAGGGGACCGACCTTGTAATACTCAGTGGGGTCCACGGCCAGGTGGCACCTGCCGAAGGGGGTCTCTGTCTTCTTCAGGAGGGAGCACCAGTGCTCCGCATAGTTGGCTGGGGAGGCAGGTGGGAGCCTCAGCCAGGCCCCTCACACGCCCGGGTCCAGCAGCTGGCTCGCCCAGGCTGGAGCAGTTGTGGCCCCCAGCCCTGGCCCCCTCAGTCCCTCTGGTCAAATACCCTGGAAGCTCTGGGCAGGGTGCACCCTGCTACCTCCTCTCTCCCCACCCCAAGGGGCCAAGAACCACCTGGTGCTGTGGGGTGCTGGGTGGAAGGCTCACTGTCCTGGCTCCAGGCCAATCTCTGGACGAGGGGCACCACCCAGTCATGAGCCAGTCACCCCCCGCCATGTCACTTGGCAGGCTGCCACCACGGGCCACCCTCACCCACCCCTTGTCCCACCAGGAGCCCCGCCTGCCCGCCTCGCAGGCCGTGGTGCCCTGCGGAGCCGAGCCTCACCACTCTCGATGTTGAGGGAACAGGGGTCGTCCAGCCAGTCCAGCTTGTCGTGGCAGCTGGCCTGGGCCTTCCAGCTGTTGGCGAAGCTGGACCCCGTGGCCTCCACCAGGCCACCCGCTGTCCTGAAGTCGTCACTTTCCAGGCCATTGAAGTCCCCGCAGAGCCCTGAGGGGCCAGGACACGGTTGGGAGGGGTCTGGGCTGGGGGGGCACCTGGGCGGGRAGAGCCAGGCGGGGCCACTCACCCTGCACCTGCCCCTGGGCAGCCTGGTCCAGCGTCACGAAGAGCTGCATGACGGGCACCAGCTGCACCTGCAGCCGCAGCCCGAGGGCCGTGTTCACCACGATGTGGTAGGAGGAGGGTTGGAAGATGGAGAAGCTGGCTGCAAGGAGGGCGCCGTGAGGGCACAGCCCCCTGGTGCAGCAGGAGCTCCCTCCACCCACGCAGAGGCCCGCGGGGCCCAGTGAACAGGACCCTCCCCTGCCCGGCCTCCTGGGCCCCAGGCCCCCAGCTGCCCACATCCCAGCAGGTCAAGCCCACCAGACCAGCTCTGGGTCCCCTCCCCTCACCAGCCACGTGGGGCAGGGTCACTGCCAGCTCGTTGAGTAGCACGCTGCCGTCCGACTTGAAGGCCACCACCTGCAAGAAAGGCCAAGGGTGTCCAGGGCTGAGAAGGCTTCAAGGACCCTGGAGCCCTGGGGGGACAGGCAGGGCACCCACGTTCTTCTTCCTGTCTATCAGCAGGGCCACTGTCTTCAGGCAGGTCTGCTTGTCCGTGGAGCCGCAGGGGGCCAGCTCGCCCAGGAGGGTGAAGGAGTCGTTGTGGTCTCCCTGTGTGGGGAAGGCGGGAGGGTTGTGGCCCAGAGGCCGGGCCCAGCCCTGAACCCAGGGCTCCACAGTGGCTGAGAAGGGAAGCCCATTTCTCAACACCCTTCACCACCCTAGGGACAGCCCCAGGCCCCCTCTTCTCAAGGGCCAGCCAGTCCCCTGCTGGGAGGGCCCGGGGCCCCCAGCTGCACCCCACCCACCTTGGTCAGGACGTAGTAGCAGTCCCCATGAAAGGTGAACTTTTTCCCATCGAAGGTGGTGATGTGGGAGCCACCCTCCAGGGTGCAGGTCCCAGGGCACGGCAGGTCTTTACACACCCAGCGGCCAGCATTGCAGACACTGTCGGCCATCAGAACACAGGGTCAGGGCTCGGGCACACCCCAGCCTTCCGGGCCCTGTGCCCTGGACCRGCAACTCACCATTGCTCGCAGTCATTGGTGATCTCCTGGCCCGGCACATACAGGTGCCCGTGCAGCTTGCAGTGGCACTGGCTGACGGGGACGCAGCCGCTGCCCGTGAGGTCATCATACACAGTGCCTGGGACAGCATGGAAGGTGAAGTCACTCTGGGCGGCTCAGCCATGCCATTCTCCCCAGGGCGGGGCTGCCAGCCTGGCTCCCACCCCAACTCAGCAGGCCCCCCCCCCCCCCCGCCGAGCACACACCTTCTGGGCAGAAACAGCCGTCCATGTGGTGCTCCTCGCACAGGCTGCTGACCTCCAGGTGTGAGCAGGTGTCCACGCAGGGTGAGCCGCTCTCCAGGTAAACCATGTTCCCGGGGCAGCTCTTGGCTGGAAGTGAAGGCAGCTCCGTGAACAGGCACTCCCACGAGGGCAGAGCCCGATGGCAGGTGGCCATGTCCAAGGGCCTCAGTCTCGGCCACTGGAGTCACCTGGCTCCCCACAGCTGTGGCCCCTGGGTACTTGGCACAGACACCTTCCCGGGGCTCCCCAGACCCAGGGAGGCTGCCACTGGCTCTGTCTTGGGCCACTTACGGCAGAAGGAGGCCGACCTCCAGTTCCCCGGCCGGCCGCCAGCGTGGGAGCACTGACGGGAGAACTCGGCGAGGGTGCTGCAGACGCAGGCCCCACCCTGCGGGCACCGGCAGCGATCCTGCATGCAGGCCTGCACGTACGGCTCCAGCGGCAGCCGGGCCTGGCAGTCTTGGAAGGCCGCGGCGGACAGCAATCTCTCGCACTCAGCACGCTGGCAGGAAGGACGTGGGGGTGGGCAACTGCTCACAGCTCCCCTCTCTCCCTGCAGCAGGGTTCCCGAGAGCACCCACAGATGGGGGCCCCACCCAGAAACTCGAAGGGCCCCCAGGCTGGGACTCACGTGCTTGGAGCAGGACTCAGGTGTGGGCACCTCCTCGGGGTCCTCGCACACCACCTCAGGCTTATTGATCTTCTGCATGTTCCCAAACTCAATGGCACTGAATGTGATGCCTGGGGGCACAGCCGGTCAGTGGTCAGCAGCTCCACCCCTGCCTCCACCCCACAGAACCCCAGCCCAGCGCTCACCTTCAGAGAGGAACTCCAAGTAGGACTGCAGGCCATTGAAGTCCCCGCAGAGGCCGCAGGTGTGGTTCTGGAATCTGCTGTCCAGCTCCAGCTATGGGGAAGTGGGCAGGTGAGTGGGCCCAAGGCCTTGGGAAGCCCTAGGCCAGGCTGGCACCTTAATCAGGAGCAGCAGGGAAGAGGGGCATCTACCACCGAGAAGCAACGTGTTCCGGGGGAAAGCTGAGGGCCAGCCCCCAGGGCCAGGCCACCCCAGGGCCAGGCAGCCCCAGGGCCAGGCAGCCCCAGGGCCAGGC